AACTCACGAACTATGAGATCATGACCTGAGCCGAAACCAAGAGTCGGGCACTTAACGCACTGAGCCACCCAGGTGCCCCTAATTAGCTTGTTTTTAATAGCTGATTCCTAATTTTCTGATATGCTTTGCTGCAAAATTTCTTTTTAGTTTTCTGTATAGGCCTTAGAAGAAATCTGTACTCTTAAAAGTATCTTGATAGTTTGGTTATTGTCCCCTCCTTTAAAATCTGAATTATGTCTTCAGAATGCTGACAATACAGTTATTTTAAAGTCATGTTATTATGAGACACATTATAGTTAAGCTGTTGAGTGAAACTGGTCCTTCCTTTTTCTTCTCTCTGACATGAGTAGATAAACTTACTGAGGAATTTTAAATTCACCAATCCGGTGAATAATCTTATATTCTCTGAACTCTCAGAGGTATATGTATCATGAAGATGGTATAATGTATTGTTAGCCGTTTGTTTCATCCTCTTCCTCCAAACTTGCAACCTCATTTCCTAATGCTCGTCACTGATGGGGCCACCAAGAGCAGCATAGTCTTCCCACCCTTGAGAAGTTAAATGTGGACATTTTGTAAGAATTTCTTCTCCCTAAGTAAGTTTTTTAACTTGTCTCTTCTTATGAGAATCCAACAGGGTTGATATGCCCTAGTTATGCAGTGTTGAGTGACCCCACTTTGGCTGAAAGGTAAGTACTGCCGTTATGCTCGTGAATGAACTGGAGAGCCAGTGACAGATAGTCTTAAACCTTGTGTAGGCAGAAGTTTTGCTAAATTAATTGAAGCGTTGCTTTGTGTTGATTTAATTTTCCCCAACTGTTTTTTAGTTTTGACATGTGTCCGAACAATTGCTCAGGCCGAGGAGAATGTAAGATCAGTAATAGCAGCAACACTGTCCAATGTGAATGTTCTGAAAACTGGAAAGGTGAAGCATGCGACATTCCTCATTGTATACAGGACTGTGGTTTCCCTGATCGAGGCATTTGCAATTCAAGTGATGTCAGAGGATGCTCCTGCTTCCCAGACTGGCAGGGTAGGAGCTTCTTTTATCTTTGCTTTTCTTCCAGTTTACCGCATCTTCCTAGTTCCTTATGTTCTACATTGACTTTATTCCTTGGGTATATACCATATATATATGTT